TAGTGAAAATATACTGCAACAATTCTTGTTAATGGCTTGTTTTTGCCAGCATATTAAGCTTGCGTTTCAGATGCTTCTGATTCCCTTCTGACCTCATGAACTCTATTTTCTATCTCATTGTCTCCGAATAATAGAATATAAAAAGCATAAAGAAGCCTTTGTAAAGTTTCAGGATACACAGGTGAAGGTTTAGAAGACTATCAGAACAGAAGATGTTTATAATAAAGCCTAACTCCAGTCATTTTTTATAGTTTTGGATAGTTAAAGTTGTTTATTATGTGTTTAGATGAGGCACCGAGATCTTGAGGAATGCTGAATAAAGTTTTACTTGCTTAGAAGAACATTACACATGTCTATACAGCATTGTGAAGGAAACGGAGAGAAAAACTTCCTGTGTATCACAGATAAGCATGCACATAGAGGCTAACGTTTGCCTTACAGCACTGTCTACAGCTCAAAAGACATATCAGTATATGCTGTTGTATTGCCAACAAAAGTGACACTAGATTCAGGAGTTGAATCTTAAAAACGCATTCAAGCTCCCTAGCTATAAACAAAAATGTATCTTATTTGTGTATCACTCAGCTGTAGATCCTCAAATCATCTCTGATTTCATATGGACATGTCCTTCTTTCAAGAATATATTTTCAATACAAATTAGCTAACTAAATGTGAGATTATAGTTCATCAAGGGAGTAAAATTGGAGCGGTGGCTACTTTACAACACACACAGGGACCATGGGGAACAAAAGTAGCCACCCTGCAGAAGGAAGGACAGTGTCGGCACCAATTCAGAGATTATTTGAGGATCTACTGCTGAGTGAGACACAAAAAAAAGATACATTTTTGTTAATAGTTACGGTTCTTGAATGCAGTTTTAGGATTTAACTCCTGAATTTAGTGTAACTTTAATGGTTTGTTTTGCCAGCATAAGCTTGGATTTGAGGGGCGTCCGATTTCCTTCTGACCTTCTAAGCTTTATTTTCATGCCTTGTTGGTCAAATGCCCATGTACACAAACTTGTGGTTGTTCCAGCTAAATATTGGATATATAACTTAATACAGCAGCCTGGCTTATCGTCTCATAATTATAACATATAAGAAGCCTTTGTAAAGTTTCTGGATACGCAATTGAAGGTTTTGAAGACTATCAGAACAAAAGATGTTTAAAGTAAATCCTAACGTCAGCCATTTGTTATGGTTTTGGATAGTTAAAGCATCAGTAAAGCCTCCTCTGTGTTTTTGCACATATCTACTGCTAGCAAGCAGCAGAAATAATCGATCCACAGAACAGCGCTAAAAGCCTTACAGTGTTACACCAGTAAGTAGTGTTAAATTCCAAAATGCAATAAAGTATCAAACTTACTGTTCACAATAAAGTATCTAAAAAAACAGATCTCTGTGTAAGTGAAATATTGTGAATGAAATTACACAACTTGTGACAAATATATATATGCAAACAATCAAACACGATGTCTGTTTGAACCTCTCTCGGAGAAAAAACAGGTGCCCAAGTGAATATGTATAAATACAATTCAAGTGAATAAAATATACTGTATATGTACATTATATCCTAAAGTGAAACAATTGGAGTTATAAAAATAAGGAAAAGCAACAAAAAAAAATTGTACAAATGTGACAGCAAGGCAATTTTCAATATGCCCAAAAAATCTATACGTCTGATGTGAAAAAAATCCAAATGAGAAAATGCACCAAGCTCTGTTATCTTCCAAGAAAATATTAAAGTCAGATGTGTGTCCAAAAAGGTGATATTCCCGTGGTGTAATTAATAAACAGAACAAAATCCCCTCTAGGGTATGTACTCACCGAACTCAAGATGTTATTAGGCCGTGTACCACACCGGGATGGAAGCCGCATATTGTAAATTGCCTTGTCACATTTGTACGATATTTTTTGTGCTTTTTTGCATTTCTTTTCACTCCAATTGTTTCACTTTATGATATAATGTACATACAGTATATATTTTATTCACTTGAATTGTATTCATACATATTCACTTGGGCACCTGTTTTTTCTCCGAGAGAGGTTCAAACAGACATCGTGTTTGATTGTTTGCATATATATATATATATATATATTAGATACATTTATTGTGAACAGTAAGTTTGATACTGCATTTTGGATTTGCATTTTGGAATTTAACACTACTTACTTGGGTGTAACACTGTGAGGCTTTTAGCGCCGTACTGTGGATCGATTAACATAAAAGGCTCACCGCCTGAGTTTAGCAGCTTCTAGCTAGTCCGGTTTTTCTTCTTTTCTCCTTCCATAAGCGCAGGTTTTGTCTTTCAAGCATCAGAAATATGCAAAAACATTTTTAAAAAAGTTTGCAAAAGGGTTTAAACTTACCTGTGTCGCTGCCGCGCGCTGCCGTACAAAGATCTGAAGATTCTCGGGAGGCCGCAAAGGATCATGGGGCAGGCGCATGCGCAGTAGAGATCTTCGGCCGGGAGAGGAGGAGAGACACAAGGTAAGTCAATGGAGGCAGTGTGCACCCGCACAGACTGTGTGGGACAAGAAGTGACAGGAAGAGACAGGAGTCAGCGCTGGATCGGAGATTGGCACCAACACTGGAGGAACTCCTGAAAACTACTGGAAAGAAGCAGATGATCGGATCAAGAGGCATCATTTAACACTAGTCTTTACACTAGTATAGGGATGGAGGAGAAAAACATTTTAGGCTTTAATGTCACTTTAAGAAGTTAAAATTGAAAAAATGGCTCTTAAAAGTTCCAGTCCTTCCCCATAGTATAAAAAATGTGTATTTGTCTGTGTCCCCATTGGAGATATTTCCCATGGCTCCCTGTTCTATCATGATGTGAGAGACATCAATGAAAAACCTGACAGAGGCCATTAACCTTTCCTATACAAAAAGAAATAAACATCTTGCCTGGAGTTGGGCTTTAAAGTGGTGGGGAGGGAGGTATATTTTTCAACACACAGCTGACTTCTTCTACATTGTATGATTTTGCTTACAGTGGCAGTCTACAAATACATTACAACAAATGACTGCATAACAACTACTCCTGATCTGATTGGATGCAGGAAGTGTTCAGGTATTTTGGGAGCCAGCAGGGCCAACTAGCAAGATAGTGAAGCTTGGCCCATTGGGAGATTCCTCCATCCACACAGTTTAGTGTAGATAGAGCAATCTGTTGCACTTTTTCCATCTGACCATGAAACATCTGCAGATAATCTATAGGGGTATGGCCAGCTGGATGTAAACAAGCAGATTTTTCATTAAAGAGGCACTAAACACAGGAGTTAAATCTTAAAAATGCATTCAAGTGCCTTAACTATTATCAAAAATGTATTTTATTTGTGTATCACTCAGCTGTAGATCCTCAAATCATCTCTGAATTGGTGCTGACACTGTCCTTCCTTCTGGAGGGGGGCTACATGTGTTCCCCATGGTCACTGTGTGTGTTGTAAAGTAGCCACCGCTCCAAGCTCCCTCCTGTGATGGACTATAATCATCCTGCCCAACCTCTGCTGCTTGCCAGTAGTGGTAAGCCTGGGCTTGGTGCAAACCCAGTTCGCCTAAGTTCCCTCAAGCCTGCTCAAAACTGCAAACTGGCACCTCCCCTCCCAGCACAATCAGGTGCGGAAAGGCGCATTTCCCACCTCGCAGCTATACGTCACAAAGGGGCAGGAATGCCCCCTCCCCAACTGCCACCACTGATTGGGCCAAGGGAGGGGAGTGGGGAAGATTTGAGTGAGCTTGGGCAAAATGGGTTCGCACAAACCCCAGACTCATCTCTACTCAGGCTTGTTGTAAAGCTCACCTGAGTTCGCTCTAGCCCAGCTCAAAAATGTGACCGATACATGCCTCTCTCAGCCCAATCAATTGTGGCAGGTTCCTTCCCCGCCCTGCAACTACACATCACAAAGGGGTGGAGAATTCTCCTTGCTGCAACTTCCACCACTAAGTAGGTGTGGAGGGGGGGGGGGGGCCAGTTTTGAGTGGCTTTGGGCAAATTTACATGAACTTAGTCAGCACGCAGCCTAAGCTCATAATTACTGGTCAGAAGGATTGCCTCTGGAGTTACAGCTATTCACAGAGGAGCCACATACCACTGCCCTTACCATAACCCCACCATCACCATGCCCCTGCTTCACTCACCACTGTGCCAACGCCTGCCTCTGCGCTCGCTGCCTCTGTACCAATTCGTACTTCAGTCCACTCCACCACTGCAGTGATATAACCTTCCATATTCAGCCCAAACACGCACAGTTTTGCTAGTATTTCTGTAAGTGCAGGTTTTATTGAAAGTGATCTCAAAGACAAAATGTTATTTCAAATGCTGATTAAATGACTTACAATGGATGCTGCTCTTTGATTTTTAAAAGTGTTATTTTCCTTCAGAATCAGCTGATCACTGTCCCTGATATCCTGTTTTATGGTGGCTACTTTCCCATGCAGGTTCCAATTGAGCCACTGTTGTGTGTGCTAGTAGTCTGTGTGTGTATCCACAAACACACAGGCACAGCCATGCTGCGCTCTCATCTTTCCTCCCTCCTTGCTTCCCCATTGTAAAAGCTAGTAGATGGACAGCTGCTGAAGACTGCAGGGTCCCTTGTAATCTTGTACTGAACAAAAAGTTCAGTTCAGTGAAGTGGAATTGGGAAAGTTGGAGCCAGCTGTTTGGAAACATTATTAATATGTTTGGTCAAAAACTAAAGAAATACTTTGCATGGCAATGCATATTTGTTTGATCCGGATTCATTAATTCATGAATTGAAAACAAGATTGAGAGTGTAATACTTTTTTAAACTTATTTTAATACTATTGTAAATTTAGGTGTCCCTTCAAGGGGCCACATTTTAATGCTAATTTACAAAGATTTATTTTTTATTACTCAGGGTTGCTCCTAATTTGCTGGTCCACTTTAACAATGCTCGCTCTCAGTAATTGGTGTGCCTCTGGTTAAATCATGTGTAATAAATTAGATTTCTCTGTCTTGTTTTCCCACAGGAGTCAGCTGGGTGTGTCCCTGTAACGATAGAAGGCTTTATATAGGAGTGTGCGTTACTACCTTTCCTCAATCAGCAAAAGCTTTGCTTCCTTACAGACGTCTTAAGGCAGCAGATACATTCCCACATCCTAGATGACTTGCTGCTTGGACACTGTGATCATGATATCTATTTTGCTATTACTTCTGCTCTGCACTGTGATCTTTGCAAGATGGAGGCGAAATCATGTTGTTGTGGTCCCTGAAGGACGAGCTGTGCTCATCACTGGCTGTGATTCAGGCTTTGGGAATCAACTCGCTCGCAGATTACTTGACATGGGCTTTACAGTCTTTGCTACCTGCTTGTTCCCTGATGGAGAAGGAGCTCAGTCTCTATTAAAATATTTCTCTCCTGGGAAGGTGAAGGTGATCAGACTGGATGTTACCAATGACACGGAGATTGCCGAGGTGAAGCAGTATGTACAAAATAACCTTCCTGCTAAAGGTAAAACTGTAACTCTTTAATTTTACTTCAACACATCTCCATTGCTGTCTTCTAGGACCATCGTCATGCAGCTGATTTAGGATTTTTGCAATTAATATAACTAGGGCTGCAACCAACTAATCGATTAATCGATAATGAGAATTGTTGTCAACTATTCTCATTATCGATTAGTTGATCTGGATCCCCTAGTTCTCTCCTCCGCGCTGAGAGCCGATGTTTCAATGGGTCTGTATCCCCTCTGATCCACTCTGCTCCCAGCGGGGATTGGAGGGGACACAGACCCCTGCAGCTCTTGCCCACCAGTGAGGAGAGCTCCCCAAACCTCCCCCTAATACCCCCTCCCCAGCCATTGCTCTGTAGCTTTTACCTCCCCACTGGGAGCCTCCTGCATGCTGCCTTGGCAGCGAGATTAGGAGGGGCTGCAGCTGGCGCCCAGTGGGGAGGAGAGACTGGCTGTCAGCCAACACAGCCTGCTTTTGGCTATTTAAAATAGCCAAAAGCAGGCTGGCTATTGCAACCCTCCCCCCCAATGCCTGCTGTCAATCAGCAGAGGAGCTGACATGAAGGATAACTATTTTCTATATAATTGTATTTTTTGTCCAATTTTAGTGTGTTATTTTAACTAAAAGTTTGGTAATTTTATTATATTGGGTTGGAGTTTTTCAATTCAGATTATTTTAAATCCATAAAGCTAATTAAATAAAATGGCTATATAATACATATGCAGAGCAAGACGCCGTATGCATGCACTACTTTCTTCCATTGCAACACACAGTATTGCGGTACTGTGTGTTGTGCTGCGTCACAGCGCATTGTGGCCGGAGGTGCATTGAGCTGCCATTCAAATAAATAGCAACGCAATGCACCTGTCGTACTTAATACATGGTAGGTGCATTGCGCAATAACGTACATTAATCGCACATTACTGTGCGATTCATGCAACGCATAGGCTTGAAAAGGCCCCTAATGTACGGGTCAGAATAACAAACAATGGAGATGAAGTGGTTAATGTGCAGGATAAGAGAGGTGAAGGTGTTAAAGGCTACGTTCATGTTTTCATGCTACAATCATTCAGGGTAAAACATGAAACATGGTGCTAAGAGGCTCTTGGCTGTACAGTGTGTGTTGTAAAGTAGCCACCTCTCCAAGCTCGCTCCCTTGATGAACTACAAGCTCACATTTAGTTTACTTATTTGAATTGAAGTTAAAGCCCATAACTTGACTGTGAGCTTTGTGAGATGGGCAAATGACACTACAGGAGAGAAGGTGTTCCTGAGTTAGCAAGGCTGCTGTCAGTGTTATTTGACCTATCATGTTAGTCACATCATTCTGGTGAGTGTGTATCCTATTGGGTATTGTAAGCTAAATATAGCTTTACATCATATAGGTTTTGTGCTAATTACTGCCTATTTGTTCCTTTAGTTACCATAAAGGAAAAATTAGAAACTGCGGAATCAGTATGAATAACATATATACACAGCAGAGTATACATATTGCCCTGTTAGTTCACTAAAAGTGTAAAAAAAAAATTCACCACCACTGCAGGTTGTGTATACATCCTTACTGCCATGTGCTTGCAATGCTCCTAGGCTTGGTTCACACCTGGCCATTACTATAGGCGTGTTTTTTCAGCTCGTTTTTAGCTCGTTTTTAGCACGTTCTTTAATTCAGTGAAACGCGCGTTCAACGCTCGTTTTTATGCCTCCCTGGCGGTATAATTTTTATTTATTTTTTTCCTTTATTTTCGCTATCTTTTTTCTGGGTTTTGTTTTAACTTTCCATCAGCGCTGAAAAACGCCCAGGTGTGAACCCAGCCTTAAAGTGCCTATGGACATGATGAAGAGAAAAGTCAATCAATCCAAACATTTACAGGGTTATTCACTAAAGAGTGAAGAGTATAGAGACGGCAGGAAAAGTGAATAATCTAGGACAACATAGCTGAACTGGAAAGTGAGCTGCATTGGAGAATTTTTCCAAATCAGCTATGTTGTCCTAGATTGTTCACTTCTCCTGTCTTCTCCAAACCCTTCACCCTTTTGTGAATAACCGTGTAAGCGTCTATTTACACAAGTGTGAATGGGGCCCTTACAGTATCTTTTAAAAAACACAAAAAAAATTAGCACATAGATGGTAACTAGGGATGAGGTTCAGGTTTACTACTGAGTTGGGTTCACCCAAAGGAAGAACTTATGGGCAAGTTCACCCCAACAATAGGAGTGAACCCCACCACCTGCAGGGAAGTGAAAACATTTAGCAGCGGTATGGGCATATCTTTTTTTGGTCACTTATATCCCTGGGTATAGCCACTCCTTTGTTTACATTTAGCTAAGAGTGGAGAGGGAACTTTGACAGGCTAGTTCCCCATCAGGTCTCACTCCCTTGTAATTGACAGCAGACTGTCTATTGTCTATGGAATCTGTTCCCTTACTATTTTTAGGCTTGCATACATTTTAAGGTCAGAATTGGGAATATATGTATCTCTTAAGGCCTTCCCTTACAAGCTCCAACTCAACCTGGGTGAGGGAGAAATGTACTCACCATCTTTTACCTTCCCTATAGATAATCCTGCACACAGGTGCTTCTCTTTGCTTCCTAAAAAGGCACATACATTGTATTACAATTAAAGGATTAGAAAGATACCAGTCACCATACTTCTATGGTGTCTTCTCCCTTCTTCTCCCACTTTGGGACACAGCCACAAAGGAGCCTATAGACCTCTAATGTGTAGGCACTAGACATGTGCACCAGGAAAACATTTGTTTTGTTTAGTTTAGGTTTGTTTTGATTTGTTTTTCGGGATTCGGGTCCGAAAATAAATTAGTTTCGGGATTCGGACGAAATTCGTTAGCGGTAGTCTGTACGAACGTTCGTTTCGTTTTTCGTTTCGTGCGTTGCAGCACTAACAGAGCAAAAAATTTCCCCTTGAATGTCATTTTGCTGCAACGAACATTCGTCCAACGAACTAACGTTTGTCCAGACTACCGCTAACTAATTTCAAAATCGGAAATTCGTAAGCATGAGAACAGATACAGATTTAAAAGGAAGAGCAGCAAAGAGAAGGGAAACAACCATGGATTACAGTAAGGCACACATTACAGTATTGTTTTATGTTAAAAAATCTGAGGGTTTAATGTCACTTTAAGGTTACTGTAGAAGACATGAGGGCACTCTTTGCACTCTCAACCTCCGCATAGCATCCTCAGCTATTTAGAATAATGTTTATAAAAATGTGTAATAAGCTTCTACAGGAGATGGCTCTAGTTAGATCAATAGATTACTAAAATGTCTGGACATATTTCGAACAGCACAAAATATAAACTGCAACCAATATTAAAAAGATAACAAAATAATATTGTAGACTGTTGATCCAGGGAGTTATCAGAATGTCATTGGGGATAAGGAATTACTTTTTTTGCCTCTTGAAGCAATGCAGCTTAAGTTCATACACCTCACTCCCAATTATCCATGCCACCTGTAAAATGTCCTATCTCTGTTACATGCAGTGCCTCATTCATGACTTTGTACATGCAATGGCCTATGTCTCTCATACCTTGTATGCCTTTAAGAGAACAGCTTGTATAATTATATTTTTGTATGTAATTGGTCATAATTTATTAGATAAAAATCTTTTTCCTGTAGGGCTGTGGGGTATTGTCAGCAATGCTGGCATAAGTACATGGGGACCGTTTGACTGGCACACAATCGAAGCGTACCGGCGAGTTGTTGATATTAACCTACTTGGAAGCATTAGGACCACACTGGCTTTTGCTCCACTTATAAAGAAAAGCAAAGGTGAGACATGTTTCTGTTTTCTCTGGCTTCTACCACCACAACTTTTGATAAGTACCCAAGCATTTGGAGCTTGTACCACACATATTCTGACTAGTGTCTGGGTATCTGGGGCTTGTACCACACATCCTCTGGCAAGTGTCCAGGCATCTGAGATTTGTATCATACACCTTCTGGCGGGTGGCCAGATTGTGAGTCTGCAAAACCCTTTATTTGGTGACAGATAGGGATGAGCTCAGGTTCAGACTGAACCTGAGCTGATCTGAATGTGGAAGGAGACTCATTCTGCTGTTGCACAGTTGCATCCAGAAAATTGCCTATCTGCAGCTGCACATAAGCAAGGAGCGAGATGCTGCAACATTATTGACCATATATGGACACAAGGCTATATTTGGTCAGTGACATTGACCTGATATGTGCATGTGGCCAAATAAGGTTAATGATGTCAGCGCAAGCATACTGACCCTTTGTTTATGTGCAGCTGCAGGGAATACCCTGGTCTGCAGCTGATTGGGCCAGTGGCCCCATGTTGCTTCTGGGTTCGGAGGAGCTCAGGTTTAGACCTGGTTCGGTGTGAACCTGAGCTCATGCCTAGTGACAAGGAGAGATTTACTGTATGTATGAATAGTATGGCAATATGTCTGAATCCTAGAAATATATATATCAGCTGGAAAAACATAATTTTTAAACATATATTTTTTATTTCATTGGCTACACACAGTCTATAAAAAAGGCAATATTGATACCAGTAGTGTTACCTTCCAATTTTTTTATGAACCCATAGAAGGGTCCCTATTAGAGATGCACAGATACCAAGTACCACACTTGCTAGAAGTACAAGTACTGATACTTTTCCAGCTCCATTGAAAGACTAGACCGGAGCAAAACTCAAAAGTTAGGAGGCAGCAGGCATTTTTAAGGCGCATTGGCTACTGGGGCTCCTGGGATTTGTGTATCCCTGTTTTAATGTATGATTTATACATATATATATATATTAGGGATGCACCGATATAATTTTTTCCAGACCAAGTACAAGTACCGATACTCACAGATACAAATTACTGATAAACAAAATGTGTGTTATGTGACAGTTTTTCTAAAAAAACACAGACTAATGATTTCAGGACAGTGGTGGAGCGCCAGGGCCCGGACACAGCTGCAACCGTTGCAACCCTGGTAGTTCTCGTGAAAATGCCAAGTATCGGCCCCGATACAGATACTGCTATCTGATCATTCCTAGTCCTTATTGATAATTTTTTTAAATCTGTGACATGGGCAGAGCATCTTCACCAGCACCAGTAATTATACTGTATACACACAACAATGGTTTTATACTCCCCAGAACACCCCAGGTTTGAGCTCTAGTTGTTGAACCCTGCACTATTTCACTGTAGAGTGAACCAGTGCCAGCAGAGTGTCCAACAAAATCCCTCTACTTGTTGACTGTATGAATGAAGCATAATAATATTTAATACATGACACTGGTCATCCGCTTCATTAATGTAATGAAGGGGCTGCTAAACTCTCAAAGGGGTCCAAAGGCAATAGAACTATATACCTTGCTGACTCCTGTGTTTTTTGGTCTTTGCCTAAGCACATGGCTGTTTTTTCAAAGAACTAAAAGAATTCTGAGGCATTTGAACCAGTCTAAGGCAAAAGATTTCTTGCGAAAAAATAAAACACTTGACGAAAATATGTTTGTTTTGGTTAACTCATGTCTTTGTTTTACATGCCTGTTCTTACAGGACGCATGGTGTATATGTCGAGCATAACTGCTTATGTGAGTATGATAAATGGCATATATTCCATGACAAAAGCTGCTATCGAGAGATTCTGTGATTCTCTGCGTCTGGAAATGATGCGGAATGGAGTGAAGGTAAGCTATTTGAGGTTAGGCTTGTCAACGATAGCGTATGGGTCTGTGCCATGTGAACGTATGAGTTTATGTACGTGTGACACACATATATATAATAAATTATTTTATGTGTGTGTGTGTGTGTGTGTGTGTGTGTGTATGTATGTATGTATGTATATATATATATATTACACTGTATATTGCCAGTAGCCAATTTTTACACAGCTGATCTATACCCTTTTTTTTTTACACTCCTAATCCTCTCCTGAAACAAAACACTTGCTGTGCCTGATGACATTTCGACTTATTCCCACTCATTAAAACTTTCCTACAGCTGGACAATTTCTACACTCTTATCTGCAGTCTCTACATTCTAAGTGGCAGGGCTGTTTAGCATTGGCAAAAATGGTGAAAACCTCTGCAAACCGCTGGACAATTTCTACCCACCGGTCAAAGCAGGCATTACCACTTGATGAAAAAAAGCATGTGTCACTGCGAAAACTACATGGACATTTTTTTTTTTTTTAACTTATTGAAGCCAAACTTACTGCAAAAGAAAATGAATTCTACAGCCAGCGCTGCCTGAGCATGCTCTCACTTAGCTTGTCCATGAAAACCATAATGTTCCATAATATCTTATGAAGTTATAAGGCATCCACAAACTGTCAATCGGGAAGCTGCATAAAAAATAACCTCTCCCCATTGTGTATTTTTTAAAAGAAATGTTGGTATGTCATTGCATTGCTTCTCATGCCTTTCCACTCTGCTGTATATGTGACAAACGGCAGGTCAGATCCCACAGTGCTGCTACCAATAACTGATGATAGCACTCTCAGCCTCACCCTGCACAGAGATTTTCCAGCTCACGAGACAACAATCTAATGCTGCCCATACACCTTGCGATCATCAGACAACACTTTGTGTCCGATCGAACCGTCGTACGGTTTTCATACGGCAGCCCCATCCTGCCCTCATTATCGCAAGGTTGGATCAGTGGTAATTAGAAGAAAGCACCTGGACGAATTGCGGTAATCGACCACACGTATTTTCGTCTGCGCATGTGCAGTGAAGATCGTACGAATTTTGACGTACGGAAACGCCACCAACCTTGCGAAAATCGTATGATCGACCGAGGTTTTCCAACCTGCTGGTTAGTCAAAAGTCGATCGATTGTAACGGTATTTGCGGTTGTACACTGCCCATCAACCTTACGAATATCGGATGAAAACGCGATCGCATACGAAAATCGGCTGATATTCGTAAGGTGTATGGGCAGCTTTAGACTAAGACTCAGTGTGATTGACACTGGGGTTGGGTAACTCCGCAGTTAACTCTTACACACAAACAATAGCTGCCACCACATGTTTTAACAGAAACACACACCTTGCTCACCGAAGCAAGGGGGAGCGCAATGCCCTGTGCTCATTAATTGCAGCAGTATTTGTTTCTTTTATAAGCAGCAATATGGCATGGTACAATGGCATGGCATTGAAAGTGCAACACGAGGCTGTTACCACATGCAAAGGCCTTATCCATACACGGTGTTGGCCAATTGGTACTGAACTGGCTGCAATTGGAGCTGCGGACGGCCTTGTAAATCCCACCACGGTTGTTTAAATCCAAAAGCTAACAGGGGAGGTTCCTCCAGTCTATGCTGTTTCAATCTATTAGATGTATTTTATTCAGCCCAAAAATCTATGACTAGCCTAAAGGAATTCTTAAAGGGTAACAAGTAACAACAACTGACAAAAAAAAAAAAGGGTAACTCCAGTTCAAAAAAAATTATGAAAAAATATTACAAAAATGAATATAGCATGTGTAATTGCCATTTTGTAATTTAATATTATTAAACATTACCTTTCCATTGGAAACTGTAGCCACTGTAATGTTCTAAATCTGTCAAAAATAAATCCAATGCAACGTGGAGACCTGGAGGTGTTCTGTACACAGTTGGTATTCAGAATTCCCCCAGAAATGTCATTTCCCGCTTCTGGTGATGGCAGAAGTCTGCAGTAAGATGCATGTACAATTTTTGCCATGCCTTGCAATAGGAATTTCATTTTTGGTGAGATACTCCAGAAGGGTTAATTACTAGTAAAGGGATGCAGACACTGCACATTTCCCTATTATAACACAGGAAGCCACCAGCTGGTTATAATGAACCCAGACCCTCCCATTCAGGGATCAGATTGGAAAGGACATGCTGATGTTTCTCCAGAATAGAAACCGTTAGGAAACTGCAACAAAGTTTGGTAAAATCCTAGCAATGTACATTGATCACCAAGAGAGGATCGATCTTTTTTCTCAACAAAAGTGGAGTTACTCTTTAAATTGGTCATATACTTGAAAAGTATGACCATTTATAGGCTTTGTGAGCCAGAGAGCAAAACAATGATCAATAAATCAAGCTAACCAGGCCACAATGCTAACCATTATTTTATTCTTTCATTTTAGGTGTGTCTGATAGAACCTGGTAATTATGCACTAGCTACAAATATCCAGCCTCTAAAATCTGCTGATGACATCTGGGATTCACTTGCTGCAGATGTACAGGAAAGCTACAGCAAGGAATATCTGGAGAATGTCAACCAATCTGTAACTGCAGCTCTGTCCAAAGGAAGCAGTAAGGGCCACGAGGTGGTGGATGCTATTGTACATGCTCTCATCTCAGATGCACCAAAACCTCGATATTTAGTGGCCAGTCTTGCAGAGAAGATATCTGTTTATCTTTCCCTTTGGCTTCCGACCTCTGTGTTTGATAAAATCTTATCCCGAGCTTCTGTTTGAACAAATTAAAATAGCAATGCACCATGATAAGCTCAGAAGACTTCTGCTCAAATGTAGTAGTGGTCATTTGTAAACGACATCATGTGCTATGGGAAAGGATTGTATATGCATGTTACAGCAAAGAGATACTTATTCCTTAATATACATTGTATAAGTGTATTCTGGTTCTGGTTGATAAAAACTTTTATCTAGTCATCAGGGCCACCATTAGAAAGGTCTAGGTACATGACATTTGGGGAGCATGTGCAGTGTCAGAGCCGCTAGACAACGGGGAGTGGAAAGAGTAGTCCACATAACTGAGTGTTCTTGCAGTCTGCTGGAACGATATGCAGGGAGTGGGTCTAGGTACATGACATTTGGGGAGCATGTGCAGTGTCAGAGCCGCTAGACAACGGGGAGTGGAAAGAGTAGTCCACATAACTGAGTGTTCTTGCAGTCTGCTGGAACGATGCTGCACTAGGGCAGACGACACGCAGCCCCTGCTGGGCCAAAGCCGTACCCCCCCCCCCCCCAGAAATGTATAGAAATTCCATGAAGGAATAAAGTAGATCTAAAGTAGATATAGTAATATCTTTTTTTAAAGAATATCTGGTGGAGATCTGGAAGGTCCTTGTCCAGGCACTATTATAAGATGACAACTCTCTGCCAATTTGGCTCCTGTGTTGTCATTAGATATAGAAAGTAGGATGATAATATTATAGATATGTTCCCTATTTCTCTATGGAGTACTGGTATGGACAAATATTCAGAATTCAGAATCTAAATAGGCCTGTAGACCTAAGGAAATTACATCTGCTAATAAGTATCTGCCAGGTCAGGATTCCTGACAAGCTCCTGTAGGCCAGTGGCTATGAAAACATAAACAATTATCATCTTATTTGGATCCATCAAAAGGTCCTTCAGACCTGGCAAATGAAATTCAGGAGGAGGAATCATTACATATTGGGGTACTGCACTGTCTGGGATCAAGTCGTGTTATAAAGATCAGAGATAGTATGTTTCATCTCCCATAAAATCCAAAATATTAGTCGTGGGCAGATGCGAGTTGCCCCATTTGCTAGTATGAACCATGAGCTGTATGTGGATACGGAATGGTATGTCCTGACCCTATAAGACCACCTTAATGATTGTGGGCCCTGCCCATGGCAGTCAAGTTGTGTTTGGACTTGCTGCAATTGGGATGATGCGCTGGTGTCAGAAATATTAACTGCGACACTACTATTAGAACCGGCTGGTCTATATAACCTATGGCCACTGCAGAGACCAGAACTTTCCTCACATCTGATGGGCTGACTGACCAAATGGGTAAAGTCTGTCCCACATCTATTCCACTATAAATTATGTGGCATGGAACTGAACAATTGATTTAATCAACATTACTGTCCTAAAGCTTACTTCTGTTTTCCTCCCATTATTATTTTGTGGCAAATAGCCAATCTTTCTGCATGCGATTTTCTTAGTTGTTTATAAATATTGTTTCTGTACATATTTCTGCACTGTTCTGCCTTTTTGAAATATTAAATATAACATTGATACATTGGCCTTCTGTGTACTAAGGGAAGAACACAATTGTGTGTAGCTGTATCGTATTACCAAGTACCTGTAAGATTTGTTGTAAATTCCCTGCTAAGCTCCGTGGGATTGCATTGTGTGACTGCACCCTTGTGTTCTCTAGAACTGCAGCAGGTGGCTGACAGAGAACAAGGGGGCAGATCTGAATGGATACAGATTAGTGTCAATGTGTGGAAGCTATTTTATTTGCCATAGACAGTCAGATTTCACTCCTAGCAACAGGAATCCCTGTGTATGTGTGAGAGTGTGGCTGCCTAGAAGACCGGTCAACTAAAAAACTGCAGATGTTGTTTTCGGTTGTTTCTTATCTCCATATTGGGGAAATATAGGTTGTTGTTGGTGGTAATGTGTTTAGAAAAAGCACTGAGCTCTTGAGGAATGCTGAATCACGTTTTACTTGCTTAGCAGCATATTACATCTGAATACAGCACTGTGAGGAAAACATATTTATAGCAAAACTTCCTGTGTATCATAGATAAGCATGCATATAGAGAGACTAACATTGCACTACAGCGCCATCTACAGCTCAAAAGACATAACAGTACACTAGAACAGGGCTCAAAATTTCCACTCGCCCGCTCGCATTTGGCGAGTGGAAATAAAGAGAGGGCGAGTGGAAATTCAGTCAGGCACGCGGTCACGGATCGCGTACCTGACTATGAGAGCAGCCGCTCCTTGCTGTCCTGTCCTGGCTCCGTTACTTTCGATCGATCAATGGTGGGCCAGTATGGGAGTATTGCCTGTTTCACCCTTTCAGTGCTCCTGCTGCTACTCATATAAAAAGTTATGTCACACACCATTAAGCTATTTTGTTCATTGATGGTGTTTAAATTATTTTTTCCATGAAGGAAATGTATAGAAATTCCATGAAGGAATAAAGTAGATCTAAAGTAGATATAGGAATATCTTTTTTTAAAGAATATCTGGTGGAATTCACCCTTTCAGTGCTCCTGCTGCTACTCATATAAAAAGTTATGTCACACACCATTAAGCTATTTTGTTCATTGATGGTGTTTAAATTATTTTTTCCATGAAGGAAATGTATAGAAATTCCATGAAGGAATAAAGTAGATCTAAAGTAGATATAGTAATATCTTTTTTTAAAGAATATCTGGTGGAGATCTGGAAGGTCCTTGTCCAGGCACTATTATAAGATGACAACTCTCTGCCAATTTGGCTCCTGTGTTGTCATTAGATATAGAAAGTAGGATGATAATATTATAGATATGTTCCCTATTTCTCTATGGAGTACTGGTATGGACAAATATTCAGAATTCAGAATCTAAATAGGCCTGTAGACCTAAGGAAATTACATCTGCTAATAAGTATCTGCCAGGTCAGGATTCCTGACAAGCTCCTGTAGGCCAGTGGCTATGAAAACATAAACAATTATCATCTTATTTGGATCCATCAAAAGGTCCTTCAGACCTGGCAAATGAAATTCAGGAGGAGGAATCATTACATATTGGGGTACTGCACTGTCTGGGATCAAGTCGTGTTATAAAGATCAGAGATAGTATGTTTCATCTCCCATAAAATCCAAAATATTAGTCGTGGGCAGATGCGAGTTGCCCCATTTGCTAGTATGAACCATGAGCTGTATGTGGATACGGAATGGTATGTCCTGACCCTATAAGACCACCTTAATGATTGTGGGCCCTGCCCATGGCAGTCAAGTTGTGTTTGGACTTGCTGCAATTGGGATGATGCGCTGGTGTCAGAAATATTAACTGCGACACTACTATTAGAACCGGCTGGTCTATATAACCTATGGCCACTGCAGAGACCAGAACTTTCCTCACATCTGATGGGCTGACTGACCAAATGGGTAAAGTCTGTCCCACATCTATTCCACTATAAATTATGTGGCATGGAACTGAACAATTGATTTAATCAACATTACTGTCCTAAAGCTTACTTCTGTTTTCCTCCCATTATTATTTTGTGGCAAATAGCCAATCTTTCTGCATGCGATTTTCTTAGTTGTTTATAAATATTGTTTCTGTACATATTTCTGCACTGTTCTGCCTTTTTGAAATATTAAATATAACATTGATACATTGGCCTTCTGTGTACTAAGGGAAGAACACAATTGTGTGTAGCTGTATCGTATTACCAAGTACCTGTAAGATTTGTTGTAAATTCCCTGCTAAGCTCCGTGGGATTGCATTGTGTGACTGCACCCTTGTGTTCTCTAGAACTGCAGCAGGTGGCTGACAGAGAACAAGGGGGCAGATCTGAATGGATACAGATTAGTGTCAATGTGTGGAAGCTATTTTATTTGCCATAGACAGTCAGATTTCACTCCTAGCAACAGGAATCCCTGTGTATGTGTGAGAGTGTGGCTGCCTAGAAGACCGGTCAACTAAAAAACTGCAGATGTTGTTTTCGGTTGTTTCTTATCTCCATATTGGGGAAATATAGGTTGTTGTTGGTGGTAATGTGTTTAGAAAAAGCACTGAGCTCTTGAGGAATGCTGAATCACGTTTTACTTGCTTAGCAGCATATTACATCTGAATACAGCACTGTGAGGAAAACATATTTATAGCAAAACTTCCTGTGTATCATAGATAAGCATGCATATAGAGAGACTAACATTGCACTACAGCGCCATCTACAGCTCAAAAGACATAACAGTACACAAGAAAAGGGGGGAGGGTATTTATTTTATATGTGGGGATGTGGAGGGCCGCAATGTTTACATTGCTTTATCTTAATATTGTTGTTGTTAATATTTATTTTTGTAACTTTATTCTGCCTTCAACATTTAAAAGTGTAATTTCATAAGATAATTTAAGAGGGTGGGTTTAGGGGCGGAGTTAAGGCAGGGTTGGGGTTAGGTGGGGCAACTGGTGGCGAGTAACTCTTAAGGCCTGGCTAGTAGCTCAGGACTTGAAATTTTGAGCCCTGCACTAGAATATGCTGTTGCATTTCCAACAGTTGTGATAATTGCCAGTGTGCTGGTCAATTTCCGAGCACTCTTGTTGGAGACTATATGCCGATGTGCCCACTCAAATTTCATGGGCATGGTCCACTGTTGTCATCATCAGGAACCTGGTCCAGAGCAATGATGTGCAATTGAGGCAGAATTGAGTACACTTAAATAGGAAGTAGATGAAAGAGGCTGAAGGAGATCAGTAACACTGGGATGCAAAAAAATATTTTTTTTAAAAAGGTAAAAAAATGGCAAAAACAGTATCTCATGAAAAAAAGTCAGTTGTTTATGATAGACAATGTATTAGATTAGAAGCTGTAATGTCACCCAGTTAGAGTTTAGATCTACTTTAATGTAAGCTCTAAGCATACACTTTGGAGCCTTTAAAGCAAAATTCCCGCCAAAAATTAGATGGAACCAAATAGCCCATTAAAAGATTTCACCGGCAGTATGTTTTTTCTGCCACTAGGTGTCACCAGTCTAGTGGCCAGCATAATTCAACCACTT